CATGCCTCCTGCTCCCCGGAGCTCCTTATCAGCTGTGTCCAAGCCAGCATATCCCCCTCCCTTCCCTTCCTCTCCCTTTCCTTCCCTCCCTTCCCCTAAGGAAGACAGAACAAGTAACTCTCTTCCCCTGGCTACATACACACGCCCAGTGCTTTCCTCTCCAAGATTTCTGGCCTCTGCCGATAGTCTCAACTCTGAGGAAGGAGGGGGAGAGGAGCAGTGATGCATCATCCTACATCCTTGCCCATGTTTCTGGGAATTGTCCTTGGACACCCCTTGCCAGCGTCTTGTCCACGTCCACCCACAATCCTTCAAGGGCTCTGGTCCCGTCCCAGCCCGAAGCTGAGGAGCCCTGGAGAGGGGAGGGCCCTGGAGGAGCCAAGCCCTGCGGAAACAGTGGCTGTGTGAGCAGCCATTCACTGGCATGGGCTGCATGACCAGCTCTCACCTCTGTCAGCGCCCTGGGTCCAGCAGCAAGTCAGAAGGACGGGCAGACACAAGGGCAGAAATGGGCTGGGGATGGAAGAGAGAACCACTTCTCCACTTCAAGGCTGACAAGAACCGGCAGGATCGATGAAGTCACCTCCACACATACTATTCCTATTTCAGAGCTTGGCAAGTGGAGACTCTTTTGTGAAATAATTCCAGTCAGGGAGAATGGATGCCTTCCAAAGAAGACATGAGGCTACTTTTATCTGTTTAGTTTTAACAAGGCAAGTGCTGGTGGTTTTCATCTCTCATCTCAAGAAAACAGGACCCACTTGTTCCCAGGGCCTTCCACCTCCAGGCTCCAGCAGCGGAGGGGAGCAGCTTGCTAGTCACAGGCAACTCTTGGGCCAGCAATGGCTCTCTCCTCCTGCAAGCTGCTGTCCTCCAGACAGTCCATGAGCCACAGCTGCCGAGCACCAGGGCTGTGGGGAACAGCTTACGAGAGAGGAAACAAAACTCCCGAGGTTAAAAACGGACCTTGGAAGAAATGTTATTGGGACTTGCTTCGTGGCACTCAGAAAATGCTGGTCGGGGTTAGAGGATGTAGATAGACTTGTAGTCTCTGGTTAGACATTCAGCCAGACAGTTAAGAGCCAAGTGCTGGACAAATCTGCTAAGGGTAGAACCAGGGTGCGAGATAGATACTGCAAGCAGGAAGGGCTAAGGGTAGACACAGGGAAGAACTGCCTGGCAGTAAGAGGACTTAGGCTCTCAAAATGGAATCAAGGAAACAGGTAACAGAATACTTTTTCCCAAGTCTGAAATTTAGTCCTCCAGGGAGAGTGTAAGCGCATCTTTGCCCAGAGAGAGGTGGAGGATAGAAATGGCTTTTCAAACCTGGCAGAGCTAGGTTTAGGCGGGGCTGTCACAGCACCTTAAAGGGAGGCAGGAGGGGTAGGAGCCACAGGTGTATTTTCCAGCTTGTCTGAACAAACTGAACGCAGAGGGCTGCTGTTCCTGCGGTGCTGACACTCCTGAAATGAAGGAGGTAGATGACTCTCTTTCTAGAGAGTATATCTGAGGAGAGAGCCAGGCGGGGTGAGAAAGACACAACATGACATGATGGGGAGACCAGAGGCAGCCCTTCGTGGCCTCCAGACATCACCTGATGTTGGCTCTGCCTTCATCTCCTCCCTGTGGACAGTCAAGGGCCATCCAGGTCTTGCTGACTTCAGGAAGACAGGATTAACCTATTAGCCATGTAAGCCATGTTCTTTGAAGGGCAAAGCGGGCGTCATGATGAAGGGAGACATACTGGGGCTTTGGAAACGGGACCGTGGCTAAGGACAGTGCAGAGAAGGGTTTTGACCGGAAACCCACCTAAGGAGTCAGTACTTGGGGGCTGCCCCAGTGCTGTCCCCTGCTGTCGGGCCTTGGTGGCCCTGGGTAGGACAGCCCTTTCCTGTCCTGTCAGCCATCCCTTCAACTCAGGCTTCCTCTGGTTCCCAAGACCACTCTAAATTAATAATTTGGGGGAAGGGACTAAGTAATTTTATCCTCATCACCTCACTCCACCCCTCCCCTAGGTGAAAGATGAGAAAAATATTCAAGAGGTGTTCGACCTGAGTGACTATGAGAAGTGTGAAGAGCTCCGGAAATCCAAGAGCAGGAGCAAGAAAAACCATAGCAAGTTTACTCTTGCCCACTCCAAGCAGCCCGGTAACACGGTATGCTTCTGCCACCTGCGCCACTGGGCCACCGGGTCGGGAGTGCAGGGCACGGGAGAACACCTTCCGCCCCTCGGTTCTCCCTCTCAGCTCACTTGGCCCAGCGGCCCTGGATTATTGGTCTCTGCTGGATTTCATTATTTAACCTGAGAATATTGTGGCCATTTCCTTTCCTCTAGGCAAGCCAGCCTTCAAACAAAGGTTCTCTCTCTCTCTCTCTCTCTCTCTGTCTCTGTCTCTCTGTCTCTCTGTCTCTGACTCTGTCTCTCTCTCTTTCTCTTTCTCTCCCGCCCCACCTTGTGTGAGCAAATGTCGTGTATGCACATGCACACACACACGCACATCTCTTGGGAGAAAATCACTTTTCCCTATACTTTGATAGGTGGTTCAGTTTCTGAATCGAATTTCTCTGAAGGAACCATTCCTATCACATTCTATTTCAAACAGTCAAAGGTCTCTATTTTAGTACCATCCTTTACCAAACCTCCTCTAATTATCTCCAGTGCCATATTAATATCCACTGCCCTTCTTAGCTCTTCCTTGGTCATTTCTAAAACAACAGCCATGCTATGGTATTTTGCAGAAATAGAGGCTGGTTTCCTTAAGTTATGGATGACTCTGGAAGCAAACTCTCTCCTTCCAGGAGCTGGGTCTAAGAGAATGAAATTATGATTTCTTATTTCTTTGCTACCAAGGTGAGGTCCCAACTCTAAAACTTTGGTGAAACAAGAATCTTCCCCTCATAGGCACCCAACCTGATCTTCCTGGCGGTGAGTCCGGAAGAGAAGGAGTCTTGGATCAGTGCCCTGAGCTCCGCCATCACCAGAGCCAAGAACCGCGTCCTGGATGAGGTCGGGGGCTCGCTGTCGGGGGGTGACTGGGGCAAAGGGATAACTCCCTTTGGAAAACCCTCTTCTCTTTCTGCCCTCTAAGTCTCTTCTGCCAGCTCCCCTTTCCCTGTTCTATAACGCATGGGCCAACCCTGGGCTCACTGGAGGAGGCCCTGCCCTGCGTAGTCATTAAGCCCCTTGCCCTTGGATTTGCTCAGAAGCAATTCACATAGGGAGTTTATTTCCCAGTCCAGGCGTGTTCTACTCCCGGGGATGCAGGGGTGGGACAGAGTCTCCAAAGAGCACTCATGACTCACATAGTACTTCTCTTCAGGTCACCGTTGAAGAGGACAGCTATCTCGCCCACCCCACTCGAGACAGGGCAAAAATCCAACACTCCCGCCGCCCCCCAACTCGGGGACACCTAATGGCCGTGGTATGTAAGAAAGTAGAAATTGCTGAAGGCCCAATTCCATGTCCATCTCAGACAGGGCTGTATCTCAGAGAGCCCACCAGAGACATTTGTGATGCCAAGGTCAAAGGCTGGGGGAAGTCCCTCCACCCCGCCCCCCTGCCTGAGTCCTCCAATTCAAAAGTATTTGTTCGGCAGGTACTGAGTTCAAAAGCCCCTGCCCTCCATAAATTACTGTCCCTCTGGGAAAATGAGACATACCCACAGGGAAAGCAAAAAGGCAGTAGAAGCTACTGTCTGGTGGCCGGCTGTCCTGACATTCCACAGGCATTCAGGGGAGGAAGCATCACAGGGAACCACCGTACAGAGTGGTGGTGGCTTCTTCCTAAGCCTCTAGGGAAAGGGATGGTAGAAGGAACACAGGCTTTGACAGACCAAGGTGGAACCCAGCTGTGCAGTTTACGCTCATGATGCCCTGAAGCTGTACCGAGGGCAGTAATTACGCCTGCCGCAGGGCAGCGATGAGGAATGACCAAAACATGTGTCCATACGTCTGACGTTCTCAATACGCTTCTTACTTTTTTTTTAAATTACAGTATTCTAGAGACTGGAGAACAAGTTTTATTACAAGCCAAGGGGTTCTGAGTTCCCAGCAGCAGAGGGGGTTAGGCGTATGGCTCGGGGAATGCAGAGGGAAGAGGACAGTTACTGTTCGTGTCAAACTCAGTTTGGTGCTTAGAGTCGACGATACAGAGGAAGATGACTCTCTTCAGGAAGTTCTTAGTAAAGTGGAGAACATGGGTAATAAATAGGAGAAATCACTTTAAATCACAGAAAAATAAAGAAATAAGTTCAAATCACTATCCAAGGAATAAGCGGTAGCACCTAGAGTTGAAATAGCAGCTAGAAAGAGGCTCTTCAGGAGGGCGGGCTTCTCATTGGGGAAAGCATGAGGAAAACGACCATGGTTACGCCTGAAATGCCCTCTGATGACAGCGTGCCCCCTCCATTCCTGCCCTCTCCCCCTCCAGGCTTCGACCTCTACCTCGGATGGGATGCTGACCTTGGACCTGATCCAAGAGGAAGACCCTTCCCCTGAGGAGCCAACCTCTTGTGCCGAGAGCTTTCGGGTTGACCTGGACAAGTCTGTGGCCCAGCTGGCGGGCAGCCGGCGGAGAGCTGACTCAGACCGTATCCAGCCCTCCGCAGACCGGGCGGGCGGCCTGCCCCGACCTTGGCAGAAGCCAGACAAGGGGGCCACCTACACCCCCCAGGCACCCAAGAAGTTGACGCCTGCAGAGAAAGGCCGCTGTGCCTCCTTGGAGGAGATCCTGTCTCAGCGGGACACTGCCCCAGCTTGCACCCTCCAACTGCGGGCCGAGGACCCCCCAACCCTCATCCCTCCCCACCCGGGGCAGCTGTCCCGGATCCAGGACCTGGTAGCAAGGAAACTGGAGAAGACTCAGGAGCTGTTGGCAGAGGTTCAGGGACTGGGAGATGGGAAGCGAAAGGCCAAGGACCCCCCTCGGTCTCCTCCCGACTCTGAGTCAGAGCAGCTGCTGCTGGAGACAGAGCGGCTGCTGGGAGAGGCGTCATCGAACTGGAGTCAGGCGAAGAGGGTGCTGCAGGAAGTCAGGGAGCTGAGGGACCTGTACAGACAGATGGACCTGCAGACCCCCGACCCCCACCTCAGACAGACCACCCAGCACAGTCAGTACCGCAAGAGCCTAATGTGAAGGAATGGGACAGGGTCTGGAACTTGTGGGTGACGCACAGACTCCTATCTCCAACTGTTGCAGGATAAAGCTTTTTTATTTACCTCAGTCAAAAAAAAAACAAAAAACAAAACAAAAACACAATCAGACTTGTTGCTCTTGCTGATGCCCAGCCCTCCTGCAACCCCCTTTCCCAACCCCCTTTCCTTCTTCACCCCACCTCCATCACTCTGAGACCTAAATTGCCTCTGATGTGAGCAGGTGACCCCTACAGCAGTATGAAAAAGCTTCCCCCGGACAGAGAGAAAGGGAAACAAAGGCACAGTCTGACGGTTTCACATGCTCCAGCCCTCTGAGGCGTAGTGGGGAGCACACTGCTGCCCCCAGGGACGGGTACAGGCTGCTCAGTCTGGGAGGGGCGTGTTTTATGTCCCATTCCAGGTTTTCAATCTGAGGGTGAAATTTCAGCTCTAGCTCCAAGGATGTGGGAGCCAGTGAGTGCCACCTGTCCGCACACACGTTAGTGGAACATCCCAGCCGCGAGCATTTGGGGAATTGAATCTTCCCCGCCCCACCCAGCTTCTTGCTCACAGCAGAGCCTGATGGAGACTGAGCTGCCCAGCTCTCTTAGTTAATGGGTTTCCTCCCTCCATTCCCGCACCCTTCCCAGCACTGACTCAAAGGTACAATGCTGACGGACGGGGTTGGTTTGGTCAACTGGCTGGAGGCCTAGCGCAGGGGGACCAAGGACAGCTGACCCCTCAGAAGAACCAGACTCAGAATGAAACTGATTTGTGATGCAAGCTGGGTCAGATGAAGGGGAAAACCGAACATGTGCCCAGGTTCCTCTTTCGGCCAAGCTGGGTTTCCTGTAGCCTCTCCTTCCTCAAACCTCTTCTAACACTAATCGAGCCCCAGCTTCAGAAAAACATCTTTATGCTTTGCCACCAGCCTCCTGACCCGCTGTGGAGTTGCCAAGCTCCCCTGCATCCTTGTGTGTGTGGCAGATGGTACACACCTCATCTTATTTGTTTGCTTCTTTCCTCTGAAGCATCTAAGCTTGGGGTCAGTGGCAGTGAGAGGGCCCAGAGAACTGTGAAGGCAAGGTAGGAGTGACTTCTGGAAAGAAGGGGACAGAGCCTCATGAACCAAGTGAGTGAAAGGTTAAAAAACACTGACATGTACCCATGGCTGGCTTAACCTGCCTCCCTAAGTCTCTTGCCTCCGAGGGCCAAGGCCTAGAGCTTCCCTGGGGGGTGAGGGGAGAAGGAGGAGAAAATGGGGACAAATTACCTGTAGATCCTGGCCAGAGGCTGCCCTGATGTGACATGCAGGAAGGTGGGGTCAGAGGAACAGAAGGAAAATCTTCAATTCTCATTCTGCTCTGACATTGCTCCCACAACCCACGAAAGCAAGACAGGACCTCTCCAAGCTACACGTCCCTAGGAAGAGAGCCCCATTCTCGTCCCCCACCGTTTACACTCGTGATGATGTCCTTAGATCTAGCCCGTAGTTTTCTACGAGTCTTTTCCCCAAGGAACGTATCTGCTAAGGAGTAAGGGAGAAGTGTTACCTAAATAAATATCATCCCAAGGGGTTCCTGAGCTAGCAGGAGAGGGATTCTGCGTCTTCAGACTTCGTGGCCCCCGAGCAGGCTTCACTCTTAGACTCTACACATGGTCAGCACAACCACCCATTGTCATAAATACTGAAAGTCTAGATTAAAATTATATTTTCTTGTTATAGGTTTGTATCTTTGTATTAATTTTATTTTACCAGCATTATCCCTTTTATCTCTTTTTCTTCCTTGTCGTTCCCACATAACGAAGAAAAAGACATAAGCAAGAATGGCATGTATATCCCAACATGCCATTTATCTGTGGCTCCCAGGGGAGCTAGGAGATGGAGGGAGACACTGGAGGAGAATGACAGGTGGGGGGAAGCAGAAAAGAAGGATCCAGGACCCTAGGAGACCAAGAGCTGGGCACTGGACTCCTTGGGTCTTCAGGCATCAGAACCAGAACATGAGGTGGCAAAATGAGCCCAGCTTTGGAACCAGACAGATCTGGGTTCAGACCCTCAGTAGTTACGAGGCCCTGGGCAGGGCGCAAGCCTTCCGAGTGTCAGTTTTCCCATCTGCAAAATGGAGTTATTGTTGGACGGGTAAAGACAACCTACGGAAAATGCCTGACAGTTGACAAATGGCTGCGGGCACTGAGTGAAGGGCGGCTGTGGCTGCTGCAGCTGCTTTTATTAGTTTGACTCTGGGCTGTGAACAGCTAGCTCAGGAGGCAGGAGTCCGGTCTGAATGAGGCCTAGGGCATGCGGTTAATCCCTGTCACTTTGTTCTAGTCCGTGTTCTGATCCAGTCCACAGGCTGTGCCCACAACCTCTCCTTCAAGGACAGAGTGTCAGGTGCTGTGCTAAAGGCCTGAGATAGAAGGGAAGAGCATGAAAAATTCTTTTCTTCAAGAATTTCAGAGCTAAGCACAAAGCCAGGCTTCCCACTAGAAAAACAGCTCAAATTGTCCCCTGATGGTGGGCCACCGGTATGATTTCTGTTAACAAAGAATGAGCACAGGCACTGTGACTGGAGGACAATAATGCTGTCACTCTAGCCTCCCCCCTCCTCCCAGCACCTCTTTCCTCCCTCCATTCCAGTTCCTTTACCTGCAACATTTCCCTCCCTCTCCAGGTCACGGTCGCCGTGTTCTGGGGTAAGTGGGTAGATTGGGGGGTGTGGGGCGACTTGCTTGCTACACAGTCACCAGCGGACCTTTTTCAGGATGTATATTTATTCTTCCTCCCCTCCTCTCTCCCAACAACTTTGCTATATTCTCTTACACAGATGAACTGGAAAAGGGAGGCCCTAAAATGGGGAGGTGAGGGAATCCAGGACAAAGAATTGAAAGGGGGAGAAGGGTAGAGACAGGTGGAAAAACGAATGCCATTTCATATTTCACTAACGTATTTCTCAACCTTTCCTGTTCTTCCCCATTAAATTGTTAAGTAGGGGTTTAAGGAACAGATGCGGGTTTGGGGAACAATCCTGGTCTTGCTCCAATGGAAGGATGTCTGAGGTGCTGCCCTGGAAAGCAGATGAGTTAATTCGCATGCATTTCCCTATTTCCAAAGCATAGCTGTAGGTTGTTTAGGGGGAAAAGAAAAGGTAGGGTGGGACCCACAAGTTTCTCTAACTCCCGCTCCAGCCTTCATAAGCCATGCCGTGCTAAGCCTAGCTCTGACCCTGGGAAAAGAGCTCTCTCACAAGTTCTCTGCCAATGGTAGATTCTACCTCATTCCCCTCCAAAACCAGTCCCAAAGAATCTTGCCCCTTTCTTAACGTCACAGGCAAGCGGACCAGCCCCATTCTGCACCCTCGGGGCTCAGCTACAGCCCCCTCCCCCTCCTCACCCATCTCCTTGCCTGGTTCATTTCTTTTTCTGCTTTCTTCCTACCTCCCAGTCTCCCAACAACAGCAGCCAATCCCCAGCCCGCTTGAGAGCCACACCATATATGGAGAGGTTGGAAAGAAACCCGAGTAAATGTGGGAGGGAACACCACACACACACACACACACACACACACACACACGAGTTTGAGTGTCTTTCAGCACATGACCCTGCGTCTATTTGTATGAGGGTATGACACCAGTCCCACCGTCCCCTGTCCCTGGTTCACCCCACCCACAGAATAAGGAATCTGTTTGCTATTCCCTGCCTGCATTCATGCCCCCTGAGACCACCACTCCAACCAGTTGCCTCTGACCTAGATTCTCTGTACTAATTACAAGCCTAACGAGATCTAACAAACACCTATAGCTGAGACCCTCGAGGTCAATTAGTGCAACCCAGCTCAGCTCAGGAAAGGAGCATTGGAGCCAGAAACTCCTGTGCATGCCTCACCCCAACCCGACCCAACCCTGGGCTTTGAAGCAGGCATGGAGAGAATGCAAAAATTGACAGGACCAATTTAAAAATAGAGCCTTGGAGAATTAACAAGTGTGGGGAGAACTGTGTTAAGGTTGGGGAGCATGTAGGGAATACAGATTCCCGACTCTTCCTAAGTTATCAGGCAGGTGAAAGTTGGTGCAGCTACAGAAACGAGAGCCTTAGGTGGTGTTCATTTTCGTAAAGACAGTATGGAGAAGAGTAACTCACAGAAGAGCAGGCAGCACTGGAACTTTTGGTCTGCAGCAGCCTCCAACTCTTAATTCACCCTCCTCTTTCCTTCCCGTTTTGGACAAGTTGGGGTGATCTCCTCCATCGTTCCTGCTGGTTTAGAATCACTCTAAAAACCACCTTTCTTTCAGAAATAGTAGACTCTACCTCGTCCTTGCTTTTCTCTCTTCCACATATTAAAACCATGACAGCAAACAGCCCCTTTCTCCCAAGAAACACAAAAAATGTAAAATAGGGGTGATCAGGTTTGGGTTTACAAAGTACTGTCAGACACTTTGAGGTGATGCCCAAATTACTGTCTTCTGGATGAAGAATGAGGAGACGTGGGTAGAAGTGGTAGCAGTGGGAATCTGGTTGCTTTTGTAAAGCTTTCCTAGCCGGCAGCAAACGCAATACAACAAAAAGAAGATGGTGCCTTGGTCCCCATTTTCCTGGGTTCCTTTCTTTAGGTGACAAAACAATGCATTGGAATGGTTTCCTGATGTACGTTCTCCACATGCAGGCCAGCTGTCCTAACACCATCCCTAACGCCTGCGGCTCTACTGTGGTGGGAGGGGAAGGAGAGAGCTAGCGGAATGTTCTATGCCCACATGGGGAAGTAGACCTGGGGCCACTACAAGAATGGAATTTTCCCCTTCCCCTCGCCTCCACCCAGCTCTGGCTGCAGAGAGCCGCACTCTGCAAGCACCTTGCCTTGTCCACAGTCCAGACCCTACACAGAAACCAGGAACCTGGGGTGGTGGGGGGCGGGCGGGGAAGAGGGGCAGGACGATTCACATAAGCATCATGTCTGTATGCTGATAACTTCCAAATTTACTTCCCTGGCCTGAACCCCGCTCTTGGATCAAGGCACGTACAGCCAAGTGCCTAACTGATATCTCTACTTGTGTATCTAACGGGCATCTTAAACTTCACATAAGTGTGGTAGATCTTTAAATAACAATCCTCAGTGAATCAGCCTCCCTCCATGTTCTTTTGCAATGCGAGTTTACTGCTCCTCCGACTTTTAAGGCATTGCTGTTTCTCTGACAGCCATTTGAATCTTGATTTGCTTTGTGACTTGCTTTGGCCAATAGAACCATTGTGTAAGTTCCAGAGCTTAGGCCCTAAGAGGTCTTGCAGTTTCCTCACTGGCCCTCTTAAAAGTCAGCTGCATGTAAGAAGCCTGGGCTAGCATCCTTGAAGATGTGTGTTCACATGGAAAAAGAGGCCCCGGAATCACATGGAACCATCCCAACATTCAAGCCTCTAGGCAAACAAAAGTCAAAGGCAGCACAACCAGCAAAATGAGAAGACTAACCATCCAGTTAACCCACAGAATTGTGAGAAATTAATAAATCAGTGTTGTCTTAAGCCACTAAGCTTTAGGGTGATTTGTCATTCAGCGGTGGACACAAACAGAAATCAATACATAGAAGTGGGATACCGCCATAATTAAAACCTAAAACACGTGGCATTGACTCTGGGACCAGGCAGCAGACAGAGGTTAAAAGAGCAGCAAGAAGACTATAAGTAGAGGCTGGATAAACAAGGAAGAAATTGCAATTGGACACTGGAAAGGATCACTGTCATACAGTGGGGGGTAATTTATGAAATGGGCACCTGTTGTACTTAAGATAGAAAATGTACCTACTGAACTTGTTGGAGGTGGGGAAGGAGATTTCCAGGCAGAATGCTGGAAGTACCAACAAGCCTTTCTCAGCTGTAGATGATAAGGTATTGCAAGAGAAAGGAACCAAAGAAGGACTATTCAATTGGCAAGAAAAATTTGAAAGAAAAATAATACAGACAGAAACAGTTTCCAGCCAGAAAATTTTTCACCAGTGGTAACTTAAGAGAATGATTGGACAGCAGGGACTCACCCTGGCCGGTGAAATGACTCAGGGATTTGAAAAGTGCAGGGCAACAACTCACACAAGGACAATGGAATTGGCTGATTGTTACGCAACTGTTGGCATTTTACAGAGATAAGGAAAAGCAGTTACCAAACAATTGAAACTAAGTGTGAAAGCTAGAGAGGCTTTTTTGGTAGCTTACAAAGAGGTCCTTATCTCCTGCAGCAGGACAGTAGTAAAGCATGAAGATCCAACTCAGAAATTAATAGAGATCATAGCTTCAAAAACGAACTTTCAACTGAGGTGGGTAGCTAGAAACTTCAGCCGAGGTAGATCCGTCATGCCAAAGTCAGGGCTCTGGTTGAGAAAACCTAGACTGGAACCTTGACACATGGAATGGGGACATCTGGTGCCTTTGGATGGTGGACATCCCTGAAAATGTTGGTTTTCCATATAAAGGTAGCCCACCCCTCCCCATTAAGAGCCAGCACTACCTGCCCCCCAAGAAAGACGATGCAGAAACTCCTCCCTAAAAGGTGACAGGGATCAGGATCTGCCCCTGTCTCCTCTTCTGGCTCCCAGGATGATAACAAGGGCCAAATCACAGAAAATCCAGCCAAAAACATGTTGGACCACATAAGGGAGAGAAGGAGCTAAAACCGAGCATGTACGAGCAGGAGCGGAGAGGCTGCTGTAGACTGGATTTTGAATGTGCTTGCTCAAGGGT